GTGATGGTGCTTTGCATCGATGCCACAAGGTTAACGTAGCATGAATACATCTTTAAATCCCTGTCATGCTCCCACACCATAATTCAAATGTGTGCTTCATAGATTGGGCACCTAAGGTGTGAAGTCTGACGCAACACAGTGCAAAAAAAGTGTTTTTAATAATTTACTAAACCAAACCCTCTGCAACTACAGTATGTTGATAACATTTTACCTAATTCAATGCTGATAAGCTTTATTTTTAAGATCGATTTTCTTGTATTTGAGACACGCTTGCTCTTTTTTATGATATATATCATTGACCAAAGGTGGTATGCATACTAATAAGGGTAGCTACAGCTACAGTAAGGTGCAAATGACATTTCCACTTCAATTTTAATCCTCAAACAGTATGCTCAGATTGGCATATCGCAACACTGCAGAGTCAGATTGTGCTCACATTGCAAAATGATGAGCCAGACCAAATCCGTTAGGTGGTCAAGTCTGCATTATGATTTGGAAACTGCAAACCTTTGATATGCCCTAGTTAGAAGTACGCACACTAGCTCCTAATATCTGCATCTGAAGGTCGTTGCCCCACTTAAACTGAAAAGTAAAGCTAAAACAAATTAAGCTATCAAATTAAGAAATAAACACACCTACAGGTTTGGTTGATCAATGAAGCCTTCGACATGTATTCTGGCAATCGACAAGTAAAATCATATTTTTTAAATTCTTTGCTTGAGGAGTGTTTCAGAGAGACTGGGGAAAGAGACTTGCTATATAGCATTCATATAAAAGTGTGTTGGCCTGTAATAAGCATAGCCATTGTAACAGGTGACATTGACTCAAATTGCCTGTACTCAGTTCCCTTCTTTTTTGTGTAATAATTACAACCCATTTTGAGATTCAATCTCAGTAGGAAATACAGCTGTCATTTCCAAAAACTGACAGAATGAGTGCTGTCAATAATATAGGCAGAGATGGGAAATGGAAGGCGGACAAATTGATTTCCAAATGTGGACACCCAGCAATACATCACCTAGAATCCTTCTGACAGGACAGATAAATCATTTAAAAATGAAAAGTGTAGTTTAGGCAAATATATCTCTGGGTTGGGCTTACCTGTTCAGTCCCAGAGTGCAAGCCAAGTTAATGCCAGGCTTGTTTGCCTAGATGATGTGCTATCCCTGGTGAGGCCGGGGTGGAATCCAAGCTATTGATCCTTCTAGACATCTGACTGATCACAGCTCAGTTTGTTTTATTCAGAATGTACAATTATCCCAAAAGCTCATCCAGCAGAATAAATCAACATGCAGTAACACAAGCCAATGTCAGCAGGTGCAAAGCACTGTGACGCCACACCTGACTCCACACTTAACACCTCTGCCTTTTGATGCAATTTTCTTGGAAGGCTTTATTTATCCAGAGAGAGACATCTAAAATGAGCGTTGAACAATTTGTCTTTAATATATCAAGTGAATGTGGTTGTTTTTGTCTAATGTGTATATGAATATAGCTTCAGTACTCAAATTGTCATAACAAACATGTTTATAAGAAAACTTTACAGCTTTCAAAATAACTTCTGTATTTCTCATTGACACCCTATCACATACAACATTTAAAAAAAAAAAAAATGTTGCACCTGCCAGCATCAGCTTGACATAGCCCTGCACTGATATGCCACATAAGAAGCGACAGTCTCACAACTGCCTCTACATATAACTAGAAATGTGCTATTTCCTAAGTGTTGCAATACACATGATTAAATTAATTAAGTCACACAGGTTGAGGTGTTGGTATATGTGATGAAACACACTTTACCCACACCACACATGCATGATACCTGTGTCATGTCACATAATGATGTGGAGTTTAGAGTACTGCTGTGCAGGCCTTTTGATATTCTTCACCCCTCACACTCACACAAACACACACATTATTTTAATGAAACTAGGTTAAACAGCAACCTAGAGTGCTGTACAAGGAAGGCAAATCATGAAATAAAATGTATTGGTCTTTGTATTTTTCAATCACTCTTGGCTCCCAGTTTGACAGTTTTCCTTTACTTAATCACCATTACTTGTGTAGCTTAAGGGAAAAATAAAAAAAGGAATAATCTATTGCAATCAGGTAATTATTATGTTCCTTCTATAAAGCTGTCAGCCCAGTTAGACTAAAAGCAAAGGCGCTGTCCCTCATGAAAAGGCCCATTAACTATGAAACACAGTGCATTAAATAAAACTGACACCTCCTTGAAATCCAGGAATAAACCAATCAGCACACACATTAGCACACACATTTGAAGAACATTATGAGATATGCTGGGAAATGCAGATAACTCAGTGGGGAAATAATGAAGGCATGTAATGTGTTGTAAATGAAAACAAAGAAAAACAAAACTTAAAAAGGAAGCTCATACTGTAAAGTTTGTCACATGTTTACAAGGAAATACGTGTATATTTATCTCATTCATCCACTTTGTCAATTTTTTTGTCAAAATGTAGTTTACTTTTCATTAGTTCCACTGTATCATGTTTAGAAAATACAACATACAAATAAACTATTGGTCAATCTAAATAAACGTTACCTCTCCTGGATGGATGTTTTAACATGAACTGTCCATTGCCTTTTTCATTACGTGTGTTTTTAGCTGCTCACATTTCAAAAGAAAGCTGACAAGTAGTAGCTTTCGAGCAGACAAATCACAATTTCATCTGAACACACCACCAGCCAGTAGATCAAAAAGCTTAGTTCATGTTTGAGTCAAGGCATTGAAGGAAAAAGGAACATATTGACACTCCTGCAGAAGTCTGCTGCCATTGTTGGCACTTAAACTGACATAAGGGTTTTGGCTAATACACAGCTGCTATCTGGTCCAGTGTGCACATGAATACACACATATTGCAGGTGTACACACATACACACACACACACACACACACACACACACACACACACACACACACACACACACACACACACACACACACACACACACACACACCACACACACACACACACACACACACACACACACACACATGAATAGGCATTGATTATTTTAGACATGGGGCCGGTAGAGCATGTCTCAGACACATGGTTAACTAATGCACTTGGCCAATGGTTGTCTATGGACACCCGCAGACATACACACGATCACATACAAACTCTCTACTCTAATGGCATTGCTCGTAAGTAGTCAGGGTTTTAAGACTGTGTTTTGAGAGCCCTCTCTATGCTCTGAGCTCCTCAGGAATTCTCTTGACGATTGGTGATCTTTCTGAAGTGGAAGTAGAAATTCAGCTGCCTGCTTGGATACAAATTAAATATAAATCAGACCAAGGGCGGTGTGTAGATCACAGGATGCTATGATCTGGATGTTCTGTCTCGAATAATTGACTCAGTGGGAGGCGGGAAATCAAGAAATGATTGAGTAAATACATAAAATAAGAAAACATATTTAATGTTTTTTATCTAATAGACATGTTGAGGTTATCATCACTGTGTCTATCACAAACCAATCTTTCCACCCTTTGGTTAAAAAGTAAGGACACTCTTTGATTTTTTCCTGTGATGTAATGCATTACAAATGTATCCTTAATGCCCTCTACTCTATTTGTCCATGGCTAGGTTAACCTTATATATTCATACATCTGATAAGATTTTGTTTTTGTCAAACCTTTTTGTTATCAATAAGAAAAGATTATGCTGGATGATATGCATGCATAGTTTTCATGAAAATCCCTTTATGTTTTAAAGGGCTATCTAATAGGAATGGAAATGAATATTAGTCATGTTTCAAATGTAAATCATTTTGTTTATCTAATGAATGCTGGCCTGATGTGTCTAATTTCACACAGGTGTTTGAGAATGGTGTGAGCTTCAGGTGTTATTCCATTTAAGTTCGAAGTTGCACAATATACAATTAATATGCAATTAGTGATGTAAAAATGCAGAGAATCAACCGGAAGTTTAGATGTTCTCACTAATTGCATCCAACCTTGAATAGGCTGGTGCATATGGGAGGTTGCTATGCAGGAGATTGGTTGCCATGCTTAGTATTGTAAGAGGTGGCTTGTCCTAGTTCATTGAACTGTCTGAATATCAAGTGTCCTCTCAAGCTTAGAAATAACATCATAATCACTTTTCAGACAGGACCACCATTTCTAGATCACACAAATGCAGTTTTCTCACAAATTAAGAGGGTTAGAATACCCATGTAATAAGAGTGTGATAAGAGTGCGCTTAAGACCTTCCTTTTTGATAAAATCCTTTCGATATGCTATTGATACCAATAGTTCATTTCCTATTTGTTTAGATGGGATGAATGCATGCTGTATGCAGTAGCATGTTGTGCACGGCAGAAAAAAGTACCTGTTTGTTTTAGGGATATTTTACATTATCCATTTAATCTACATTGAAACATTTAAATTCCTGGACACATTGTAGCAGTTCACTGGTCATTAGTTCAATGTGTTGGCATTAAGTTAAATCTGACAAAGTAATGACAAAGATCATCAAATGTCTAAATCGAGTCAAACCAAGGATAATATGGAAAGATGGCATATTTATAAAGTCATGATGTAAATATCAGCAATGAAACAATGCAGCAACAAGGTCAGCCCATCAGTGCAGCACAGAAGGAAACTGACAGACACGCATTTAAAAGCCCTAATCCCCACATTTGGCAAAGGACCATTGAATGGCACTGTTCCACTACAGACGTCTTTATCATTACAGTTGATTAGACGTTTACAACTGGATGACTGGCTTATATCCATTTGTATCATCCATCATCTGCTCTCACCCTCATAGCAGCAGCTGATGCCTTCTGAATAACTTACACACAGCTGCAGACAAACACACAAATGCTCACACAACAAACACATGTAGGGAAATATATATATTTTTTCTTACCAATACTCCTTTAAGGATAAAAAGTCAAAACAGCTGATGTAATATCAAATAAAAGAAAGACACACACAGATAGACAGATCTAAAATGAGGTGTAGATAGACATACCTGTAAACAAGTGTGTCATCTCCAGAGCTGTTGTACTGGACCTGGAACATCCTGACTCCAGTTGTAGGCATCTGACTGCTCCATCTAATGAGGGCAGAGTTTCCTGTCAGTTCCACCAATGAGACCCTCCGGTCGGCCCCTCGTGTCTCGTTGTTAGGCAGGGCAACCTTAGAGGAGGTTAGGATGTCAGACGGGGCCGGTTCAGAGGAAGGGTCGCGACTGCGGCTCGTGCTGTTTGCCAGATGGGGCACTGCCGTCACAACAAGCTCCACCCTGCCCGTTGATTCACCTGCTGCGTTTGAGGCAATGCAGGTGAAGTTACCTGAATCCTTTAGGACTGTTACATTAATCTCCAGGCTTCCATTAGGGAAAACCAACGTTCTGAAAAAAAGCGAGATGTATCGTAAAGTTAATAATAATAATAATAATTAAATATGACACATAAAATGTAAATATACCAGTGTTGGGAAAATACTGAATGTATTCTTTGAATATCAGAGTAGCACATGATAACAGAGGCCTAACTGTAACTGTGTAGGTAACCGGATGTATGATTACATGGATGACGCTCATGAGACACTGTGTTTTACATACGATAGCTATGTTCCTACGATTAACATGATGACACAGCCCCTAAGGAGATAGGCATATGATTGTCATGTGTATTGCTTACGCAGGCCTTACCTAATCTGAACTAAGGCTCAGAATACTGCTTTGAACCGGTATACATGTATCTTGTGACTGAATAACACCCTCTCTTGTATATAAGCATGTGAAGGACACTGATCTCGGAACTATTTTGTCCCATGCAGCTCTGTATGTTATGACTGCTTCCATTCTTGCAAGGATAATAAATGCATGTATCCTGATATTGAAGTTCAAGCCGGTGGCAGGTGATATTTTCTTAACAACCAGCAAAGTACATACACCAACAAAGTAAAAAGTATTTAATGTAGAAACTGCAGGCCTTTGGCATAGTCAAACCATTATAAAATGGGCAAGGTTCTTTTGCTCTTTATTCCTGACAAAAGGAGCAAGAAACGTTCACCTTTGTACAATCATTCACTTTTAATCTCCTCATACCAGTTAGAGGCGAATTATCTCTGGTCAACTCCTATCACTCACGTAAACCAACTTCTCTGTCACCCACACCTGAGTCAATGGCTAATCACTGTTCAAGCATCCATTCACACTCTATCCAGAATCAAAGTAATTTCTGCCAGGCTGGGGGGCTATGTTGTTGACTCCTTGTAGGCTTCTTCCACATGAATATGATAATTAACAAACATTATGTTTGTCAAGATACAAGATTGCGTCACTTCCGTAAACTGGCCTTTTCCTATCAAAATATTGAAAGATGCAACCGCAAAACCAAAGAGTACTCAAGCAAGGAATTATAGGACTGTCACATGTTTTTTTAATACTATCAATCTTCAATAACATATGTTGTATATGCAAAACCATGACTATAAATGCATATCTCTGACATGTGTGCAAAGACAAAATGAAGTGAGACACACTGTCTGACTTTCTAACTTGGTTGCACCTTGGCAGAGAACACTAAGCATCAGCGGTGCATGGATAAATATTTGAAGAGCCTCTCTCTTGCCCCTGCCAACTTGTTTGCCAGGTTTCTGACATAATTAAATATGGTGAAGTGCTCTTAGGTGAAAAGTCGAATAAATAAACACCTGGCCTTTTACATTTGAGAAACTATTGAGAAAATAAATTCATTGCAGATTTAACAAGACTGTATGGAAACAAAGTTAGTACCTGGTGCCATTAGATATGAGTCGCCCTTCAGGGCTGATCCAGTGAACTTCAGGCTCTGGATCACCATTCGCTTTGCACTTTAAACTTGCATGTTGGCCTTCCATAGACACTGTATGTGGCGACTTACGGGTCAAAACTGGTGGGTCACAAATAAACTCCTACGGCAAAAAGAACGTTTTGATTATTTAAATGACTATTATTTAAATTAGTAATATATGTTAGCTTCAAGATGTATTCAATATTTGTATTAGTTTTCTTAAAGTTAAAACTGCACCTCTTCAGGAATGGTCCAGAAGTACTTGGCACTGAGGTCAGGGGGAGAAGCGCATGTCTCAAGGTCGTCTTCTCTGGTCAGTCTTCTCAACCACAGAAGTTCACAGTTACAGTGAAGGGGATTGCCACCAAAACTTAACACCAGGGAGGTGAGGGGGGAGCCTTTGGACTTAGCATAAACTGGAATTCTCAGGAACAAAGGGTCCGGGGGGATTTTCTTCAGCTTGTTGGATGTCATGTCTAGCCTGTGAAAGGACCGAATAGGGAGAAGATGAGAATAGGATAAAAGAGAGCGGAAGAAAGAGGGGAACTTGTTCTTTATCCCTAGATCAACAGCAATTGATCCAGTTGATCAGTAAAACATCCTTTGCATTTATACATTCTTTATCATTTGCTCCTTTAATTATTTACCTGGCTAGCTTGTGTAGGTTTGTGAATACACCTTGGGGAACATGTTCTATGAGGTTGTGATCCATATTTAGGGTATTGACATTGGTGAGGCGCCCGATCATGTCCCAAGGTGTCTCGGCAAGATTATTGTAGCTGAGGTCGAGATCCTCCAGTGTGGACAGGAAGTCATCAAAGGCATGAGCAGATATGGAGTGAATCTGGTTGCTGGCGAGGATCAGGTGACGGAGGTTGGTCAGGCCTTTGAAATGGTCATCCTGGTTTGTGAAAAAGCAAAACTGCTTTGAAAGGCATCAGAGTAAGAGCATTACATATCTATACTCTATGTTCAGTGAATGTTTTAACCACCCATCTTTAGTTATTTAAAATTATTTCCTATTTAATCAACAGTGAATTATACATCTGATTATTAATATCATCAATCAATTAAGTTATCTATCCATTAGTCTCACCTTGATAACAGTTAATCTGTTAGAGTCTAGATGGAGTGCTCTCAGTCGTCGCAAGTCACTGAAAGCTGAAGGGAGGATCTGACTGATGGTGTTTCTCGACAGGGTCAGATGTAGCAGGCTGGTCATGTTGGCAAAGTCCTTTCTTCGGACAGCTGGGAGTAAACAAAATGAATAAAAAGAGACGCTCCATCAACTGCATCCCAAGTGGCCAGATTACATACAGTATTATGAAATGAAAATATATGGATATCGTCGCCCAGACATCCTCTTCCTATATCCACATTCTGATTAGCAACTTGAAACCCAAGAATGGAGTTGGAGTTGAGAGACAATGTCTATGGCCAAATTGTTTATCTGGATATCTGTTTACAGAGATTAAAAAAAACAAAATGATTATGCGAGCATAGCCCATTGGATCCGAGATTGCATTTTGATACGTGTGTTTCTTCTTTCTCGCAACCAAAGCCTGCTAGAATATGATTGGTAAATGCTACTCAGACTACAAAAAGGAAAACACTTGATACTAGAATATCATCCTCTTCCTTACTTATTCTGCATTCATATGCAGATATCTGTTTATAGAGATGATATCTAAATTGATAAAGTCATGCCTACTCAGCTCAAGAGTTCAAATCCTGAACCCTGTGACACCCAGATTATCTGGTATCCCCCAAAATAAGATACTGAATGTTTCGTTTTGCTAAACTGAAATAGATTTGGATGTGACTTGTATAACTATGCGGCTGTGCGATACTGTTATAACAGTGCATCAAATTATCTCCTTTTGGAACCTGTGAAAGCAGTCTTTATTTGTAGCCTGTGTGTCTTCAGTTTTGGCAAACCATGGAATAACATTTCTTTAAAATCAAGCTTCGGAATATTATGTAGCTGTCTTGGTAAAATAAAAGGATAAAGCAACACTGAGTCCTTACAAATTACTATGGTTCAATGTATACAATAAAAGTATTTCTCATCAAGAGAAGATTAATCATGAATGAGATTTGCTTGGCTGAAATGTATTCAAAAGTACACATTTTCAAAAGTAATACCACAAAAAAATGTGTAACTTTAGCCAGCATTTGGGAGCTTTCAATCGTGTGACATACTCTGCTCACTGCATCCAATGTGACCTTTGAATATTAGAGGTATCTTTAACCTGTCAATACATAACACCTGCTGTCACTTAATATTATTGCAGCAGGTTCACACTTGAAGAAATCATTGCAGTCGATGAAGATAAGGAACAGACAGGATCATGCAAAGTGTCTTAATACACTGACTGCGTTGATTGATGGTAAAATGGACTACAGGATGGACTGGAAGGTACGTTACCTGTAATAAAGTTTTCTTGGAGCCGTAGCTCCACGGTGCGCCGGTCAATAGCAGCCGGAACAAACAGCAGGCCTGTCTTGGAGCAGAGGATAGCGAGCGATGGAGAAAGGCTCTGGCACATACAGCGTTTCGGACACGGCTGTCCCCTGCATGCTGCTGCCAGCAACAGCAAAGAGAACCACAGCCGTTCCATTATCCTCCACTGGGAGCAGGGCAACTGGAAGACAGAAGGAAATAAGCAATGAGTTTATACAGATACAAAGACATCTGGCAGCACGTCTGGCCTGCTGAGAAACTGCAGTAGCTTGGTCATTTGGCTAGTCTGCTTACCGCAGCAATCCTAGCTTTTCCATAGCCCTGTGGCTGAAGTGACCCACAGCTGGCAGAGCTCTATAGCATCTTCAATTCAGTCTCGATACAAGGACATTAAATAAGTAATGTGAGCTGGTCTAAAACTGTCCTTAACATACAGTTCTAAGTGCTCTTGTTACTACTTGGCCAAGTTTACTGCAAGAAAAAAAAAAGATGAGTAATGGAAAAAGCTGGGTGTGGTCTTGCCATTATTTTCACATAGTTTGTCTTTTCACGCTGAACCATATTGAAATAATTAATATCAGTGGCTGTGCCCTGAACATATAATCACAGTTTACTTTTACAGAACAAAGAAACTAAATAACCGAAACCATGGGCAGAATGTGTTTCTAGGCTTAAATAGTTGTCTCACAGTAAATACGATATTTCACAGTCAAACTTCTATTGAGAACAATGCTACAATAAAGTCACAATAAAGCAAAATGACAAGTACCAAGGCTTAGAAGCTAGCTATATTACACAATGATGTGGGCTCATAATGGGATTTATCATTGTGCGGTTGCATAGTTAACTGAAATCTTTTTAAACTGAAGATCTTTTTGTGATCAGTGCTTGAGTGATTGTTGGCAAGATGTAATATAAATGTGGATATTCAAAAAAGAGGTGTATAGATACAACAGTATTACATGGCTAATCCAAAATAGCTTCATGAATTTGTAATCCTATCCACATCAAGGTCTAAGTATTGTGGACTAGTGCTTTAGTCTCATGTGCTTTAGTCTCATGAATGCAGTTCTTCTTAACAGTGCTGGCATGATGACACTAGGACTCGGGGGACTCACACACAATTTAACACAGTTCTATCAAACATTGTCAGACTGATTTCTCTCTTTCCAGTTTACACCACATTAATCCCCCGGGGCCATCCTTTCCTCACTCAATACCGGTTTTCAACAACACCTGTCTGTCTAACAGGTGTGGCACAAGTTTCCCCAGACAAGTCACATTTACAATTGCAATATATGTTGACCTGTATCTGGGATGACATGATGTGGTAGAACAGAACTGTTTCTTCTCACACTCTTTTTCCATAGCTTCTCACCTGGCCTTGAACCACTGTATCATAGCATAATCATACACCATGATTTAACACTTAAAATAAAAAGTACTTCACTATCTTATGTTAAAGAATTGTCATGGTGTGTATTCGACAACCTGATTAAAAAGGGTTTTCTGCACCAAAACCCTGCTTTGGTTGTGTGCTTACATTGAACCTTTCTTATGATAATCACATATATCAGGGAAAAATAAAGTCCTTGGCTATATGAATGAATTCTAATGTTATCACACATAAAGAGAGGGTCACCTTTCGGTTGCAGTTTAGTTAGTATTTATGCCATATGCTTTAACAGTGTGGCAAGAGTCTTCAAGGACCATCACATTCTACCTGTCAGATTTATGAAATAAAGGTAAATATGGATCCATTTCTACTTTCTAACCCTGAAGACACGACTCAAAAGAAACCCATGGTGTGATATGTGTGTGTACCATTGGGCAGCAGTATATTAGCCTGCCCAGCTTGACTACCAGGCTAATCAATAGCATTGAATTTGTCATCAGTGGGAGGCCTGTGTAAAGTACACCCCTCTTTTCTTCTCCTCTCTTGGTACTTAAAACCCCCAGCAGAAGTACTTCCGCATCAGACGACACCAGGCTTTTCTATATGCTTTTTCTCTCTTAGATTTACCTGTTTATTATCTTCCATATGTAATGTTATGACACTCCTTAAACAAAATGGGGCTCTGTACTTTCAACTTTTCTGTTCTTAAACAATGAGAAGAATAGAAAGAAACAATGATAAACTGTAAGTACATTCACAAAGACACTTCAGTGTTTCCGTTTTTTCCATCTCAAACTTTTTCTTTGAAAAAACAATAGCTCTCTCCATTACTCTTGATTATTCCCCCAGTATATCTCCCCATCCTCATCGCAATCGTACACCACATTATTCAGCTGATGTTCCCTCAATAATACTATTATACTATGTGTTCCCTCTTTACTCACTACATCATCCCTAATTTCACCCATGTGTATATGTCATACTAGACAAACAATATAAAGTGATTTGCTAGCGATATCTCAGTCTTGCCATTATTTGTATCACTTGAACCTCCTTCATGAGACATGAGCTCCCATTCTGTGACACTAATGTTGAGAGCAAAAATGTGGGGCTTGCATTACATTTATTGTTGATTAAAATATTTTATTTGAGATCCTTAAACAATCCTGAAAAGAAGGAAGCCGAAAGTGAGTGAAAGGGTAATGTTGATTTACATTTGTGATACACATTTCTCAACCAGTGGAAACAAGTTAACATTACCATTAAACCATTGATCAAGAATGAAATATTGATTGAATAATATATTTCCACTTGACTCAGTGGGAGCAAGTTAAAAACTACACATTTGAAACCAGTGATCAAGATTAAAATATTGATTGAATAATACATTGTATCATTACATGCACTTGTGGCTGAGGGATCAAAGTGTCTGAATATATGTAATACACCATTTGTTATAAAGAATATAATAGGAGTTGAGGTTAAACTTAAAAAAATTAAAAAGAATAACGAACACCCCTTCAGAAATAATTGTATATTGATTTTCAGAGCCAATATGATGGACATATTGCAGATCAAGTATATAATGTGCTATTTTAAACATAATATTGGTCTCATCTCTCATGGCTCTGTTCCTTTTTAACCTTTGTTAATTAAGCATGGTTTCTAAAGAGGGTATACTTTTCCTTCTAAGCCCTCCACAATGTTTGCTTTCATATTTACTGCCTTTTTTAATAATCACCTATTTCAGGCTTCATAACTAATAATTCTCTTTTCTCAGACTCTTCATGCTGGTTTTCCTCTCTAATTATCTCCCTGTGTTGCTTACTTTTATGATAGCGTTATTGTTATGTGTCTTTAATGTGTTAATGTTGCAGAAAATGGTGCCAATGGTGAGTTTGAATGCACATATCCCTCCCTTGGTTCACCCACTCAACCTGCTCACAGCGTAAATGTACAGTATAATTAGTTATATTTTAAACATTTAGACACACCCCATTCAGTTCTCCCACACATCAGACTATGTGTGTTTTTTATGCTTTTCAATTACGGACGTATGGGTTTTTCTGTGTAATTTAGTGAGGGTGATAGCGATCAGTCAACCACCATTACGCACTGCCATGCTCATTCAGCTGGGGAGAGTTAATAACACAAGAGAAAACAGATCGGAGCTGTCTGCACTTGTTATTAGTTAGAGTGCCATTTACAATTGGTTGCAATGGTTTCAATGACAATCTAATGTTCTGCCAAAGTTAACTATTGAGATATCTTCAGTGGAGGGTATAACTTGACAGTTGTGTTTAGATCAATGAAACTCCAGTTGGTTTAAATCAGCTGTGATAGTGACGGGCTGTCTTATACACCCTCATACTAAAAGTCTTTTACTGCAATAAAGTCTGAATAATGTTCACAGGCTTGCTTACTGAATCATTGTATTTTCTCAGGCTGTCCATGCTTTTTTCATTTCTTCCTCATCCGTCCTTCACCTGGTCCCACTCACTTTAAATGTCAATAAAATGGCACAAATATACACATTTTAAATACTTATTTACAAAGGGTCGCTTTATGCTGCACACATTGGGAGCATACTGTCATGTTAGGCTAATATCAGAATTGTAACACTTGTTAACAATAATACTTCACAGGGATGTGGTGACCCCATATTTGGCCAACTTCTAACCCAAAGTGGCCATGTTGGGCCAAGACATGGTATTATGATATTATTATTGTACTGGTGGCCTTACAATGAGCCAAAAGAGAATGCACCCTTTTGGGAAAATGTAGGTGCAACCCCCTGACTACTTATGGCACATTTCCACTGCAGCGGGGTAGCCCTGTTTAAGCGTCCCTAAGCGTCCTCGCTCAGGCCTCGGGCTGCCTCGCTGGCCGTCCGAGGCCGTGGCGCATTTCCATTGTTTAGGACCTAGGGTAGCAACGCAGTGTAGGCGGGGCATCTGTGCAGAGACATCCTGGAAAACTTTCACATTTCGAGTTGTCCCGTCGAGCTCCTGCTGGATTGTCTCATCCCCAATGAGATGTAGGAACGTCGTCACCTCCTCGGACGACCACGGTGTGCTTTTCTTTGACGTTGCCATTTTTGTAGCTCCTCCGTTTACAAAAATGCTGTGTATAAAAATGCTGCAAGCTTGCTTCTAGATATATATGCGACGCTAGGGATGATCTCGCGCGCGATCTTGTGACGATTCTCTCTGACCAATCAGCAGTCGAGAGTGTTGACGTCACTAGTTCAGCCCTGGCCCTGGCCTGATAGAACCACGATTTTATGGGGCCGGAAAAGAGGGAAAAAGTACCCGCTAGCCGGTGCTAGGCTATATGGAAAGGCCACCAAAAACTAGCCTGGCCGCTTGAGGACGATTAAGGACGCTTAAACGGGGCTACCCGCTGCAGTGGAAATGCGCCATTAGTAACCGCCAATTAATCAGCTACATGTTTAAACCAGTTGGCATTTACATGGAACACTTCTGACTGGGATAGGGTTGTGCTGTGATGGTTGACAGCCGTTTTAAAAGAACAGCCCTTTCAGCTTCATCAACATGTGCTGCAGTTCCTTAAAATACATTAAACCATGCTGACAGACCATGACACTCCAATAATATGCAAAAGAGTAACTCCAGGGGTTTGAATCAGAATAAAATGTTCTTTAGCATGCTGCATTCATGCCTCTTTTTGATTTCAATTAAGAAGACTTATCACAAAGAATGATGTGTGAATCCGTCTTGACTAAGCTCGTAAGTGTGCATTATAGATAAAAACAGTGTAGCAAC